CGTCTCTGCCTACAATATGTTGATATTTTTCACCCTGTTGGTGGTTTTACTGAGCAGGTGCCACTTTTGTCATACGTTTCTTTTTAAAACATGTTTAGACTGTTCAGAATACAAATCCAGGCTCTGTCACGTTTGATCGTTGTAATTAAACTTTGTAGGTGGGGAAGGTCAGAAAAGGATCCGATCAATTTGTTTTTCCCTCATTTATAGTGACGGAGATAACGGTGCAGTGCGCCTGGCTCTGGTGTTGATCAAGTTAAATTATATCTCTTTGCAACAATTTTCACAAGAAAACAGAACAGTTAAAAGCAGGGCTTGTGTTGACCGGATAGTTCCCGTATTTAACCGTTTATTTTGACGGAGAAAGAATAGAAAGAATTACCCCGACGCATGCAGACGAACTGACATTTTATTCGTTTCACACATCGCAGATGTAGCTAAATCACTCAAGAAAAGATTCCCATCTGAACATCTGAGCTGGACACTGCTCAGCGCAGCTCGCTGTCAGCGCGTACGTACGGTTCACAGCGAGCTGAAGATATGGAGAGGGGCTTGGAGCGCGTCATAGAACCAGAGCGCATGCGGGAAGATTCCTCCGACTGAAGCGAGTCTTGTCACTTAGAAAGTGTTCCCTGATTATGAAACTTTGGCTGAATAGCGCTTGTTCCTGTCTCCAATGTGGCGACACATCCAGGAGCCGTCTGAGGAGAATCCCAGAATCTCACATCCTCGTCAGCTCAGAAAGCGCCGATATGATTACGCACAAGCGTGACGCGTCAACCCGGTCTCACAGTAAGACCGGGTTGGAACTGTTCAGGTTTACGCAGACAATCTTTACATTTAGAATTGGCATACAGATGTAAAATTAATGCAGTAAAATATAAAGCATTTTATTTAAATATCCATTCATTATTTTACAAGCACAGAGAGCCGCATCAGATGGATGGAAGAGCCGGATGCGGCTCCAGAGCCGCGGGTTGCCGACCCCCGGGTTAGGGTGAGCAGTGCTGCAGACTTTGATCATTGAATCACTTGGATGATGCAAACATTCGCTCAAGTTGAAGTAAAAACATAGTTTTTTAAGCAAATACTAAATGCTATACTTAAAAATAACTGGAAGTTAAAAGTTTCACTAGACATATTTTCAGGAGCTTCCCTCCACTATTATTATTGTTATTTTCTTTTTAATTTCAACCTTTATTTTACCATTTAAAATGTTTGAGAATATGTTCTCATTTACAAACCTGACCTTGCCAAGAGGTTTTGGAAGGAAGTGCAAAACAAATTATGATTATTAAATAAATAAATAAAAATACTGCAACAAAAAATGGATAAACACATAACAGATCAGACGTAATGGGTTATCAACAGGCATTAGAAAATTTGAATCTGGGTCTGACAAATAAAAGAACATATACACATGCATGCAGGAGAATCATTACATCATACAGGGAATTGAATGGGTGTGTGTGTGTGTGTGTGTGTGTGTGTGCGTACGTACGTGCATGCGTGCGTGCGTGTGTGTGTGTGTGTGTGTGTGTGTGTGTGTGTGTGTGTGTGTGTGTGTGTGTGTGTGTAAATAAGTGTGATCTGGGTGATCAACAAGAGCAGCAGTCAGTTATAATCTGGAGAAGTTTAGATCTAAAGGTTGTAATAGGTGTCAAAGTTACATGTTTAAGGGTGTTTTGTAAATTGCTCCAGTCGTATGCTGCTGCAAAGCGGAAGGATTTGCGGCCAAAGACTGTAGAGGTGATGACTAGAGAGGGGATGATGAACTGAATATATTTACTGGACCTAGTGTGATATTTATTATGGGCGAGGTGAAGAAGCGAGAACATTTTACCCATTTTAATGCTGTTGCTTCCTGTGTTTTCATCATTTTTCAAGTTCAACTTGGACCTCTTTTATTTATGTGTGTTTGCTGTGTCCAAGAAGGGTTGATCAAACAATGAAAAGTACATTTTTAATGTATTTAATGTCCCTAATTCAAACTTTATCAAATGGGAGAAGTGGCTACACAAAGGTGTCCTGCTATAAAGTCCAAATTCCTCATTTTCATTGGTAATCGTTGGTAATTAACCTTTATCTTTCTACATAGAATACACAAAGCTGCACAATATTATAAAAACATGAAGTTATGATGTTTTTTAGAGCTATAATGACATCAGTAGCTATAACCCCTTGTTGTCCTCACTCCTTGTTAGACTCTGTCGTCCTGACTTTGTGTTGTAATATTTCTAACATAATTCCATCATATTAAACCAATAAAGAACTTTTAGTCATATTAATACACCAATATGCTGCTTTAAGATGAAGTTTGTGTCCTACAAACTCATTAAATATGTTGGTTCTTGTTATTAACAAAGACATCTAACAGCTGAGTTTGACTCTGTCAGACATTAGGCTTCATAAGCTCCTCTGTGTGCTCCGGTCACACCAACAGGAAAAGCAGCATCCCGTACTGTTGCAGAGTCCAACAACTGAGACTGACACTAAGAGGAGAGGCTTTTGAGAATAAAATAACAATAATAACATGCACTACTTTTCTAATGGGTAAACTGAGCTGTTAAAAGGTGGCAGGGTTAAATGGATGCAGCGCTCCAGTAATTGCTCCCAGCCGTCATCGCTCCACCCTGAGAAGATCTTCTTAAAGTAGGAGACGGAGTCTGAGTTTGGCGTCCGTGTTGTGGTCGAGGGGAGGAAGACACACCCTCTGTTTCTTTGTCTCGTGTCTGAACTTGGGTAAGTTCAGCTCTGAGCTTTGCTCCAGCTTTCATCTGTATCAGATTATGGTGCTACACTTGTGATGTAACTTGTGAGTTGGAGCTACTGAATGGAATGGTGATGTTGTTTTATTTGAAGTTTCCTCACTTCAGATGTTTTTTCAGCTAAAATTCAAAACCTGACCCCAAAGCAACAAATGTGCTAGCCTGTTTATTCCCTCAGTCCACACGGAAGTTGCGCATGATGCCGGTGAGCTCATTGTCCTTGTTTTAACGTAAAATATATTTCAGCCTTTTGTCCTGCTTATGCTGCCTCCCAGTCCTCCCAGTCTGCTGTGGCTCTGGTTATGTTTGTAAACCAGATACAACTGACAGCGTCATTCTTTTCATCCAGAACAAAGAAGTTAACCATTTGTGTTTGTGTTCACTGTTTCAACGTGAGTTTACCTTGATGTGTGGGCTCTGTTTGATTTGAGACAACAGCGGGCCATAAACGGGTTGGGTCTAGGGTCTGTGCAGCCAGGCCGGGCCGAGCTGGGCTGCAGTAAAAGCTGAGCTCCAACTGGAGGAGCTGGAGTGTGGAATTCACTAATGGCACATGCATGTTGGGGCCCCTGAAGAGAGGGGGTCAATCCAGCCATCAGTGTGTGCGCAAACACACAGAGAGCCTGTCTGTAGCTCCCCCACCTCACCTCTACTCCTCCTCCCCACTCACTCAGTCGCTCCTTTCCTCCCCTCCCCTCCATCACAGAGTGCCTTGAATCAGCAGGCGTTTTGTCTGTGCAAGTCTGGTCAAAGTTTTTGCTAATCTTTGTATAAACTCTACTAGTGTGGGTCACTCAGCAGAAAGGTTTGGTTGGGTGGGAGGTGAGCGAGGCGTTTTGTTGCTGTGTGGATCCACAGTTCTGCACCTTAAAGGCGTTTGTTAATGGGGCAGGCGGTCATTAAGCCCTGAGAGCAGAGAGACTGAAAGGAATGGGGCCACAGGCCCAAGCTTTAAATCCTCTGTGCCAATAGACTCTCTGAAGCAAAATAATGGCATCACTCTGTGTGTGAGTTAATGGGAGCTGATAGCATGAAGGCTGGGGGGTCAGCAGGTCACAGGCTTGTGCTAAGTTGTCAGGGAGCTGAATGCCGTCCCTGGGCCCGCAGCAGGGGGAAGAGCAGGGCAGAGGGGGAGGGGGACCCCCTGCCTGGCCCTCTCCCATCACCCCCCACTCCTGGAATGCAAGGAAGACGAAAAAGGGGGTTCTTTACTCTCCAGGAGTGGAGGGTAAAGAAACGGATGTGAGATCATGGAATTCGCTTTGCATTTCAGTTCTTCTCTTCCTCCCACACCGGCTGTTTCTTTCTCTCCGTAGCACTGATTTTACGAGCTGCAGTGTATGAATGAAGATAGAAGTCGCTGAGAGTAGCCACCACCGTGTGTGTGTGTGTGTGTGTGTGTGTGTGTGTGTGTGTGTGTGTGTGTGTGTGTGTGTGTGTGTGTGTGTGTGTGTGTGTGTGTGTTGTACAATGAAGATCGAAGTCCACCTTGGGAGCAGTAACTCACTTTGGAGTGCTGAGGGCTGTCACTGAAAAGAATTCACAGTCTGCAGCCATGAACACTGAATTAAGGAGCTGATTTACTGGGCAGAGATGCATAGGAGCAACATGCCAGCTTTGTTCTACAGCAACAACAAAAAAAAAGAAAATAAAGAAAATAAAAAGAAAAGTACCAGATTTGTATGTATTTATTACATTTAACTCTCTCTTTTTATTCCAGCCTCTCAGGGCTTTGGTCCCAGGTGACCCCAGGTTCTATTGTAGTCCACATTTCTTTTGACCAAACATGAAACCACCTGAGTGAGAGGCTGACTCTGCTGGGTGGTCAGTGTGTGAGCCTAACAGCGCCCTCTTGGGACAGAGCATGGCAGGGCATGTCTATATAGGATTGACCTCACTACACCCTCTGGATATGAATAGCCTCGTGTGTGTGTGTGTGTGTGTGTGTGTGTGTGTGTGTGTGTGTGTGTGTGTGTGTGTGTGTGTGTGTGTGTGTGTGTGTGTGTGTGTGTGTGTGTGTGTGTGTGTGTGTGGCCAGACATGCATGAAATGGTATTCATACAAGGATTAGGTTGCAACACAGTACCCCCTTTAGCATTTTTATAGAATGGACATCTGCTCCAAACAATAAAAAGAGATAGTTGATCTCTTCAAACCCAACCCTTCTTCTTTACCAGCTCTGTTTGCTTTTGTTTATGTTTTATTTAAGGGCTGTTTTTGTGTCTCCTCCAGATGCCAGCATGTCGCCCGATGCCCCAAAGCAGAGCCACTGGTGTAATGTGGCGTACTGGGAGCACCGGACTCGAGTGGGCCGCCTCTACACAGTGTACGAGCACTCTGTCAGTATCTTCTACGATCTACCTCAGGGCACAGGCTTCTGTCTGGGCCAGCTCAACCTGGATCACCGCAGCAGCACCGTTCAGCGCACGCGAGGCAAAATCGGCTATGGGATCCTTCTCAGCAAAGAACCAGACGGTGTTTGGGCGTACAACCGCAGCGAGCACCCCATATTTGTCAACTCGCCGACACTGGACATGCCAAACAGCAGGACTTTGGTAGTGCGGAAAGTGATGCCAGGATATTCAATCAAGGTGTTTGACTATGAGCGCTCGTGCCTCCTGAGGCACTCCACGGAAACGGACTTCCTGGATGGACCCTATGACCCCAACAGTGTGCGCATCAGCTTTGCTAAGGGCTGGGGCCCCTGTTACTCAAGACAGTTCATCACCTCCTGCCCCTGCTGGCTGGAGATTCTCCTCAACAACCATAGATAACACTCACAAACTATCCCAAATATCATCTACCTAGATTTAATATAAAGTTTTATATATTATATGAAATATATATTATACCTGTAAATAATGAGTCATTTTTACAATGTAATTATTTATGTATGGTGCAATGTGTATATGGACAAGAGGACAAAAAATGGAAAAAGCACTTTGGCATATATATATATATATATATATATATATATATATATATATATATATATATATATATATATATATATATATATATATATATATATATATATATATATATATATATATATATATATATATATATATACATATATATATATATATATATATACATATATATATATATATATATATACATATATATATATATATATATATATATATATATATATATATATATATATATATATATATATATATATATATGTATATATAAACTTGAATTATACAGCAAAATTAGGATGAGCCTGGATTTGGTGTATAGTTTTCATATACTATTAATATCCAGAGAAAAAGCTAACACCATTCACACATTGATAATAAAGTATTTGCATATTGAATGAGTTTGGTCTGCATCTATAGTTGTTTAGGGTGAATATATATCTCCCAAAATATTTGCTACCCCTCCCAATGTGTAATGACACAATTGGGAGTCAGACACCTTCTGTCATATTTAGGGTTGGGCATCGTTTGATTTTGAACAATTCCGATTCCTCGTTTCGATTCTGGTTCCTATCGATTCCCAAATCAGATTCTTAAGACATTACATGCTTTACATGAGCCAGCTAACCACAGGTCCTACTTGTTGAAACAATCTTAACTTCAACATAAATTTTAATTCTATGAACAATAACATCACCTTCATTTAGACAAAAACATGTTCTGGTGAAAAAAAGAAAAAGACTTGCAGCACAACCAGTGTGTTTGTTTCTGACCACAACCAAAGTCTGGAAGAAGCCTCTGGGATGAGAGGATAAATGCCTCCAACATATCCAGAAGCGTCCAGCTGTTTTCAGCTAAAACTCTCAGGATGATCATGTCCAGGATGGCTGAGAACTACACCTCCATTTGATTTGTCATAAAAGAAACCATCCCAATTCTTTAAAAATCCAGTCCTGCTACCATTGAGTGCAGAACCCAGCAGGGTTTAGTCATTATGAAGAGTTGGCTGTGTGCATCGAGGAGTTAATGAGAAGATGCAGCAAATAACCAATGCCAGGTTTATAATTATACTTTAGCAAGTTTTAGCTTAGCTGATCCAGATGTCCTTGAGGTCCTGAGGAGCCCCAGTAATGACTATGAGGAGGTTGGAAAGTAGAGGACAGTGTAGGAGGAAATGATAAAATGACTCCATTGCAGCAGTCAGGACTTGGTTCCAGTCTTACTCCTAATTCGGCATGTCATTGTTGAACATCTTTAGGGCCATTCCCATCTGTACCTGGTCGGCCCGGGCCGGGCTGCCCCGGCCGGCCCCAGCCCAGCCCGAGTGATTCCTCACTTTCGTCACGTCCCTGCTCTCGAATGCGGACGTGACTCTCAGTCACGGACATGTACTCAGCTTTTAGTTTTTTTACTTTTTCGCGGCACTGCTTAGAGGTGCGTTCAAAGCCGTGGGTGGACATTGCCAGTGCGAGCCCCTGAAAAATCTTTTCATTCCGCACTGAACCGTCCAGTTCACGCTGGATTCTTTCATCAGCGAGCAAGGAGAGGAAGAATTTAACCTCTTCATTGCTCCAGGGGTTAGAAGATGAGGTCTTGAGAGCAGGGAGAAGACATGATGTCGACGCTGGATAACACAATCAAAAAATGGATGCTCAAGATTGAGTTTGGCGCGATTCCGTGACATCACTACAAATAACACCGCAGGGCCAATCAGAAGATTTTATTAAAGTGTGTGTGTGTGTGTGGGGGGGGGGGGGACACATGACTTGACCAATCGGTGGAGAGTGGGCGTGTTGGGTCAGGTCGGCCTGAAGCAGACCCCCTCGAGAAGAGGGCTGAGAATGAGCCTTGGTTGGCCTGGAAAAATACCAGGCCACACAGATATGTAAACAACCTATGCTACCCGGCCCGGGCCGACCTGGTACAGATGGGAATGGCCCATTTGTCTCACAATGGGTCTTGTTGTAGTTGAGCGAGGACACGGCCCCCTTAAAAACCACCACAGTGATACTGGAATGTGTGCAGAGAAAACCGGGAAGTTTTACAAGCCTGCTGGAATCTTAAAAACTACAGCCAAACTGGATGTGGTTTAGCTGGCTTCCTTCATAATTGCTGGTGTTGGGTTGTCAGGTTGGTGGTGAGAGGAGGGGTGTAGAAGTCTCTGCCAGCATTCAGCAATGGAGGCATTCAGCAATGCTCTGATCCCTGTGAGAACCCGTCATTTGTGTTTGGAGTTTTGCAGATATCAGGTCGTAGTTATTGTTGAAAACACTCCTCTGATTGTGTGTGATGCTGAGTGTGCGTCTCTGACCTGCACCTCCTCGTCCATAAAGGTTCTGACAGCCTCCTTCAGGCCTGCTGCCTGTCTGGAGCCAAGACTACGGGGTTCAAACACCAGAGAGGAGTGGCTCCACTCCGCCTCTTGTCTCTGCCTACACTCTCTTCCTTACAACTGGGGGCCATTATCCTGCTCCTTTGTGTCTCTGTTATGGGAAAAGGGCCCACATCACCACTGGAGAGGAACTGACACGCCATTATATCGGGCGGTGAGGAGTTTAGGACTCATAGCAAGCAGATCACACGAGCCACCGCAGAGCGAACAAGAGGTGGTCCAATTAGATGACGCTGGGGAGAGGCCAAGTGAAAATGTAACATCCACCCCTGGCTACATCTCCTGCACGGCGCCTGCTCCGCGCTGTTCCTGAGCTGGAATAGTTGTGGCAGGAAGACTGTAACTCTGGGCAGAACGGAGAGAAGAAGGAACAGCCATGTAAGCAGCTTTGTGTGCTTCATGAGCTCAGGAATGGGATTGATTAGCGGCAGTTTTCTGGAGAACACTTTGCTTCTCCCAGGCCTCCTTAAAAACACACACAAAGCACCGCTTTATTCCACTGTTGAAGATGCATCAGTGAGTATCAGGGAGAGAGAGAGCTGCAATGGAAGGACATGCAGCTGAACGGACAAATGCTTTTTTAAGCTCTGAATTCAGAAACCCTGTTATTATGGCTTGCATCCTGCCAAAGCCTCGGTACATTCTTCAGGCTGTAGATGTTTGTCTGTTAAACTTTCTGGTCCTCCTTGGTCACAATCAAATGCAAAAACTCAACAAAATAATTTATGTAGAAGCGAAAACATTTGGGAAATATTTAATTTTGCAGACACTAATAGAGTTAGCAGGTCATCCGAGCCATGCAGACGTGGACACCCTGCAGCTTTCAGCTACTGGTGCACATCTGGCCCTCGCGTGAATGCACAGTGAGCTAATAGCACCTTTTTGAAACTAGGAGAGAGAGAGATTACACCAAGTGCCCAAATGCTTTTGTGCTTCTTGTCTCTCATGAATGTCGACCCGCGGAAGTCCTCTCACCTCGGCCGAGGGTGTTAATTATGGCTCCTTGCAGCTGCCATGCTCACCACTTATTGGGCGTGCAAGCACATGCAAGTGCACAGGGGATCTACGCTCTCAGAGGGGATTATGGGCTAACATGCAGTGCAAGATGGGGATAGAGAGGCTTATTCTTTTAGGTACTTTTCCACTTCTAATGGGCTGATTTTAAGACGGCGTTTTGGTGTCTAGGCTCTCACAGGTGTGTGTGTTGTCCATCCACAGCCATCATGAGAAGGATCTTCTGAAGTCTGGCCTCCTAAGGCACACTCTGGCTGTGCCTCTGGAGCGGCACACAGTGTGATTCTGCTTCTGTGCTGCAGGACTCTGAGCCTGGATTAGACCACGGGGTAAGCATTTAGGTGGTTTTTCAGAAGCCAAAAGCAACCCAGTCCTGATGCTCCTCTGCTGATCCCACCCTCCCGCCTGTAATTACAGGGTGCACGGGGGCCTCTCTGACGTATGAAAAGGATTTATTTTAGTGAGTTTCCACAGAGGTTAAAAGAATGCCACAGTGTGAGCACACACACTAACACACCCTTAGGCTCAACCGTTGCCGCCTCCAACTCAAATCATAAGAGCAATGTGGTTCTCATTGTGGCAGATTTATTAAATGTTTTAAAACCTGAATGAGCGTTCTGAACCTATTGGATGGAGAATGTTACTTCAAATGGGCTTGTGTGTGTGTCTGTGCATGTGTGTTTGTATGTGCATGGGGGAGGGGGGGGGGGGTTGTCATTTGTTTGCATTTTGCTTCTGATGTCTTACAGGAGGGGTCAAACAGAGAGGAGACTCACTCTAAATTTCCAGCTACACACTCATCCTGACTCTTGAGAGTGGCGCTTTTTGGATTCTCTAGACTAAACTAAGTTTTTTACTAGGATGTTACTAAAATCCCTAAAAGCCAACAAAAGCGTCTTAGCTGAAGCATAAATAAAATAATCTTTGTAATGTTAGTAGAGTTGTTTTACCAGTCTCCACTGTGAAGCAACACTCGTGCATATTTTTGGGCCTGCATGGTTGTGGTTGTCCCTTCTGTGCAATGTGGCTCTGAAAGAATCTAAACTTACATTTATACTTTGAGTAATTCATATAAAACTATTATGAAAGAGATTAGAAATCCTAGATTATGCTTATTATTATTCTCTGCAGATACAATTTGTAAAAATGAAGCCTGATTCGTTGTTTTTTGTTCCCCAAGTTGAAGAGAACGTCTCGAAATGCTGCCCCCCTTCTTTTCTCTCTGCAGGCCTCCTAATATGTTCCATATTGTGAGTTTAAATGGGGTGGACTCAGGAAATGCAGTCACACTGCTTCACCTTCCAAGCTTCCAGCTTGGGGTTTGGCTCGCGTAGATGGTGGTTGTGCGGATTTGGGCTGATTGGGTGGCGGGAGCTGCCGAAACACCACTTAGACCCGGTCTAACTTTCTTTTCTGTGGGCTTCTCCTCCTCCTCTTCCTCCCCTTCAGGAGCCTGGATGTCCGCGTCACTCTCGCAGTTTTGTTTCTTTGCTTGCTGAGGAGCCAAATGTCGATCCAACTTTCATGGTTGTTTCTCAAAAAACAGATTTTTCTACGTTTGACAGCAAGGGAAAGGCTGATGTAACTGATTTGGATATGAATATAAAGTTACAGCCAGTTAGTTCAGCGTGAGTAAAC